TCTTTGATGTTGCTCTGCGTGTAGGTGTTATCTTTCTTCTGAATCTGGTTTCTCCAGTCCAGTTGTCACCTTCTAGTCTTCGTTGTAGTTCTTGCTTGGAAAGTTGTGTTGGGTTCTCTTGTAGTTGTTCTTGCTCTTGCCCTTGTCTGTTGATGATGGTTAGTCGCCAATCATCTAGTTCTCCTTCAGGTATTGGGCAACCGCTGTTGTGTGGTGTGAATAATGCTTTGCGTGGTCGTTTGTGTACTCTGATGGCGTAGTCACCATCAAGTTTCCAGTAGTCAGTGTTTCCACCAAGGATCTGTCGTAGTCCTTGGTCTGTGTGGGTGAGTGGTGCAATTTGTTCTTGTTGTTGTACTGTTTTCTCTGTAGGTTGAATCACAGCAATGGATTTTCCATTGTGTGTGGTCATTGGGTAGATGTCGAATCCTGTAGGGATGTCGATCTTCTCTGCTCGTAGGTAGAAAAGTCCTGAGTGTCTTATGAGGTGTGCTTGTTGTTGTCCATGTGTGATGGTGCAGTGTCGTGGAGTGAAGTCAAGTCCATATCCTCTATCAAGTAGTCTTGATGCACTGAGGATTGGATACTTCACATCACAAACGTAGTAGGGTATCATGATCCTGAAGTTGTCCTGCTTGTAGGGAACGTACTTGATGCCGTAGACAGGAATCTTCTTGTTTGTAACCGTGTAGAGTTGTGGAAACAAACATGTGTAGATGCTCCTGAGTCGATCAACAGGTGGTGGTATGACTTGAAGTTGGAGTACATGATGTAGTGTGTGATAGTGTCCTCAATCTTCTTGTTCCTTTGTTGTTGTCTTGCTGCTGCTATGTCAAAGTGTGGCTGTGTGGTGTCTTCTTGTGGGAATTGTTGAAAGTGCTGCGGTCGTTCCATGATGTTGTGTGTGTTGTTCTCTTGCCAAGTAGTGATTTGGATTTGTGCTTGTGTAGTCGTGAGTTTGCTTGTCTGATGCGTCCAATGGTAAGGTGTGACTCGTTGATGCCTCCAATGTAGTTTGCTGTGTCCTCATAGCCGTTGTCATTCCAATCCCAGCTGTTGTCATAGTCGTAGTCGTTCCAGTTCTCCTCCATGTAGTTCACCTCGTGTTGTCCTTCTTCTCCTTCGTAGTACCAGTCCCAAGTGTCGTTCACATCCTGAGGTAGTTCTTCATTGTTGTCATGATCTGCTTGTTCTTGTTCTAGTGGATGTAGTTCTTCTCCTTCTCCTATGTGCCATACTGGCACTCTGCAGTCTTGTGCCCAGTGGCCAGGCTTGCCACATCGATGGCATGTTGTGTAGTTGTTGTTTCCTTTTCCTTTTGATTTGCTGTAGTTTCCTTGGCCTTTGTAGCCTTTGCTTGATCCATATCCTTTGGATCCTGAGTAGCCTTTTCCTTTGCTCTTGTTGTATCCTCCTTTGTTGTAGTTTCCTTTGGCCTTTGTTTCTGTACTTGCCTTTTCCTTTGTTTCCTTTGTAGGATCCTTTGCCTCCATATTTGATTTTGCCTTTGTAGTTTCTTCCTTTCCTCCAAATGTTGTCCACGTCCACGGGTGCTGTTCCACCAT